TTCTTTGACTGTTAAATAATTCTAATAACTTCATATTTGATTTATTCTGTCGTTCCTCTAACAGTTTCTACCATGACTCTGCACTTTTATTTTTACACAGTGACTCAGCTGTTTTTGCAGTGAAATGTTTTTGAGTCACATGACGCAGCAGACGCAGTTACATGTGACACCTGATCACGTGATCACTGTGCTCAGAGTGATTTCAAAATAAAACGAATGAATTCACTTGAAATGTTTTATCACAAACACGTCCGGTCATGACTTCACCTTCAACCAGTGACGTTCTGTTCCTGAGTGTGAATAAGATCAAGTTCTGAAAAACACAAATGTGTCTTCAACCATTTCTGGGGAGAAATCGTTTTCTCTGGTGTCGCCCCCTGCAGGTGAACCCGGCGGCGTCTCTGTCCATGACCCTGGCTCAGACGGATTACTGTCGTCAGCAGAGCTTCGACCCTCAGAGTCCGCTCTGCGCCCGAGTCCTCCTGTCGGGTTCTGTCATCCAGGTAACCACACGCACCTGTCTCCGCCTCTGAGCGGTCACATGACCCGCCTCACTTCCTGTTCCTGCTGCAGGTCAATGACACGGAGGCGGAGTTTGCGAAGAAATCTCTGTTCAGTCGGCACCCGGAGATGATTGATTGGCCGACAGATCACAACTGGTTCTTCGCCAAGTTCAACATCACACAGGTACGAGTACAAACTCCACCATCGATACTACGAATAGTACTACGAATAGTACTTCCAATACTACGAATGCTAGTGTGTTTCCACATGGTGCTGACATCATCACTGTTTCCAGCCAATCAGACGGCAGGAGGTCTCGTTAACGACCTGTTCCTCCTCTGTATTTCAGGTGTGGGTGTTGGATTATTTTGGCGGCGTGAAGACCGTCACTCCGGAGGAATATTTCCAGGCGACGCCGTACAGGAAGCACCACTGAGCTGCGTGGTTCTCATGATGTCACTCAGATTTAAATCGTACATTTTCAAACAGCAAACAGGAAGTAAAATCAAAACGACCACATCTGTATTTGTCACAGACAAGATGCAGAAACAGTTTTTATCTCTATAAATTTATATTAAACTCTCGTCATCAGCGTCGCCGTATTGATCAGAGCCGTCGTTTTCTCCATGAATCTGGAGTTTTGTGTGATTATATATGTGTGCAGTGTTGGAGTGTGACCACTGGAGGGCGCTGTTGCTCTGATAATGAAAGATTCAAAACAATCATTTTTATCATTTTGGTTCAGTGCCAAAGAAAAAGAATATTTTCTGTGTTTGACTAAAGTCACATCAGATGATTCATCAAAGACCAGAATTAAAGGATCAAATGAAAATAAACATTACATTTTTCTGTTGGTTTATCAACAAACCAAACTTGAAGGTGTTTGTTTCACTGGGAAATATTTGATAATAATATTCAAAACATGGAACATCCCATGATGTAAACGTTAAACTTTTTAATGAGAATAAAAGTTTTTTTTTGTTTCAGACACTTCATCAATAACTTTTGAAGAAAACTTTTTGCTGTGAAATTCTATTTTTAAAAAGAAAATGAAAGGATGATTTGTATAAATAAAGTTTTGTGTTTCAGAGAAGATGTCGCCATGCTTTCTGTTTCATTTTTAGTTTTTTAAAAATTTATTTTAACCATGATGACTTTCTTTTAAATGTGTGTGAGTGTGTGTCTTTCTGTGTGTGTGTGTGTGATGCTCTTGTACAGCTGTCTTTGTGTGTGTGTGTGACGCTCTTGTACAGCTGTCTTTGTGAGGACCAGTTTTAGCCTTTAACCTACAAAGTGAGGACATTTTGTCTGGTCCTCACTTTGTGACCTTTAATGGACGGTTTGGACTCAGTTTTAGTTTTAGGTTTAGTTAAGTTAAGTTAAGTTAAGTTAAGTTAAGTGTTTGGCATTTAGTTTGGATGGTAATGCATTATGCCATGAATGTCCTCACTAAGATAGAAGTACAAATGTGTGTGTGTGTGTGTGTGTGCGTCACCTGTCACCACTTCCTGTTCCACTCACAGTCTCTCTCTGGTTCAGTCTCTTTGTTCAAGAATAAAATGAAGTCGTTCGTCTTCCTGCTCCTCATGCTTCCTCCAACAGGTAAAAAAT